TTCAGCCTTTGGCAAACCAGATTTTGATGTTTGTAAAGTTTTTGTTGTTGTTGTTGTTGTTTTGTTTTGTTTTCAGTAATAGGTCAGGAATACCTCCAGGGGAGGGGATAATGAAGAAGCCTCCCTGGATAGTTATTTTGTAAACCTTACTTAAATAATAACAACAAACAATTCCATGTTCAGATGTTCTAACCAATAAAAATATTGGCTCCTCGCCTGTCCCTCCTAAACTCTTCTACCACTTGGAACATACAGCCTTGCCATTCCCTGAAGGTGGGCAGACCTGCCTGCTTCTTTTCCACAAACACCTTCTGTCTCCAGCCTTCTTACAATGCCTTTTGTAACGCTGAGCTGGCACTTGTGTCTCGGAAATATAAGCCAAGACACTTCTCTGAGATTACCATCAGAACTTTGCTCTACATGCAAAATCTTATTTTGAATTCAGATACACAATTACTCACCCTGACTTAATTGCACCGCCTTAGGATAGTATTAAAACAATGCTTTTAATTATTTTTGGGGGGTTTTAACAATAGTAACCCGTTGTCTTGTTCGGAGGGTGAACTGCCTGTCTTTGAGAATTTCATAGATTAAGAACCCACCAGGATCCGGGGAGGTGGGGCTTGCCTGTGGTTCCTTTATGTTTATGCAGGAAGCAACCGTACCTGGATGTGGTCCCTCTGCCCCTCATTATACTTGATGTAAACCTAGTCATGCTCAGAGGTGTCTCTATCAACTGTTTAGAGAAGAGAGAAAGAGAGCTGCATGGCTTTTGGGTTGCTGGAGGCGTGACCCTTTGGTGGTTTGGAAAACATTCTGAGTTTTAAACAGCAACACCTATAATTATGGAGGCGTCATCCCTTCCATAAAAAAGAAAACAAAACAAAGACAGCAAAGCCCTTCTGCTAACAAGGTGTAGTCATAGCATGCATGTGTTCACCCTTTCCAAAGCCCGCCTGGCATTTGTTTCAGGGCTGGTGGGGGGGGGGGATATTTTCCATCTTTCTCTGGGCTCTCATAAAACAATACAAAGGTAAACAATCGGAGGACAATTAGCAGGCTCTTTGGGGTAAGAGGAGAGAGAAGTCACTCTGTTATTAATGTCAAAGGAATTAATCATGGTTTACATAGGTGATTTAGTAGCTTAACTTCGCAAGTGGTTTGAAAAACAAAAAACCAACCAAGTTTTACCAAAGAAGCCTGTTTGGAGAACCAGGCAGGGCACACACAGCTTACAAAACTATCTGTTGAGACGTGAGTTGTTATGAAAGAGGTCATGCCTCCTCGGCTTGCATCCGCGCGGGGCTCAGCTGGAGCTTAGTTTAAAAATGAAGCCCTTGATTCTGTAGGTTGGCAGGGGCTTCGGAGATTCTGCTTTTCCCTTCAACCAGCAAGTTTTTTTTTTTTGATGTAGCCCAGGCTGGCTTCCAAATCACAATCCTCCTGTTTTGCCCTACTGAGTTTGAGATTACAAATATAAGCCACCATGCCTTGCAATTTGTGTGTATGTGTATGCACGCATTTGTATGCCATACTCAAGGTGGATAAGGTGGATGGTGGGTGTCTTCTTCAATCACAACTGTATTTATTTATTATTTGCCAAGTTTTCCATTGAGCCTTGACCTCCCTGATTTGACCAGAATCCCAGAGGCTTTCTTATTCTCTCCCACCCCAACACTGAGGTAATCAGTACATGTTGCCATATCTGGTTTTTTTCATGGGTGCTGGGGATTGAACTCGGTTCCCCATGCTTGCACAGTAGGCAGTTTCCTGACTGATCCCCTTCCCAGCCTCATCTGCTTTTAAAATGATATATTTAGAACGTCCTTTGGTTTGTTTTAAATTCTCTCTCTCTCTCTCTCTCTCTCTCTCTCTCTCTCTCTCTCTCTGTGTGTGTGTGTGTGTGTGTGTGTGTGTGTGTGTGTGTGTGAGAGAGAGAGAGAGAGAGAGAGAGAGAGAGAGAGAGAGACGGGGAGAGAGTTCATGCATTTGAATGCAGTTCTAATGGAGGCCAGAAGAGGGCATCAGATCTCTGAAGCTGGAGTTACAGGCTGTTGTGTATTGCCTAAAGCAGGTGCTAGGAATCAAACTAGGGTCCTCTGCAAGGGTAGCCAATGTTCAACTGCTGACCCATCTCTCCTGTCCCTTTGTGCTCTGCCCTTTTTTTATTATTTTATTTTATTTTATTTTTTTGGTTTTTCGAGACAGGGTTTTTCTGTGGCTTTGGAGCCTGTCCTGGGACTAGCTCTTGTAGACCAGGCTGGTCTCGAACTCACAGAGATCTGCCTGCCTCTGCCTCCCAAGTGCTGGGATTAAAGGCATGCGCTACCACCGCCCGGCTTGCACTTCTGATACACACTGAAGTATGCTCCAGCTACAGGAAAGTTATGTCTCATTTTACAGAGTATGGCTGTATTGATCCTTTTAGCGCCTGTAGTAGATGCACGCTGCAGGCTGAGCCGCTCCCCGTTACCTATCTCTAAGGTCACAAACATTGCGTTGTGAATGCTGAGGGAGGATGCTGGAATCTCAGAGTAAAGGTGTTTGACAGAAGTCTTTACTGGGCATTGCAGTGCATGATAAACCAACTAACTGGTCCCGTTATGGGCAAGCCCCTGTTCACAAGCACTAATTTAGAGAAGCATAGATATATTTACAGCCCATATTTGTATGTCTACAGAATTGTGCTTCTGAGATAGTGAGGAATACAAGTCTTTTGTGAGGGTCTAGGGACATAGTTTAGTTGGTTAGCTGTGCAAACATGAAGACCTGAGTCTGATTCCCAGAACACGTATTTTTTTTTCTTAAATTTCACCACTTGGGAGGCAGAGGCAGGCGGATCTCTGAGTGTGAGGCCAGCCTGATCTCCAGAATGAGTTCCAGGCCAGCCAAGGCTTTACAGAGAATTCCTGTCGTGAAAAATCAAAGAGCCAGGGCTAGGACTGGGGAGATCACTCAGTGCTTTCTTGACAAGACTAAGTCCCTGAACTCGGATTTCCAATGGCCACATAAAAGCTGCCCGTAGCTGCCCATGCCTGTCATCCCGGCATAGAGGGCAGAGACAGGGGGATCTAGAGAGCTGGTGAGATGGCCACCCCAACTGAAGCAGAGGCAAGGGTTGGGGGTGAAGTTGGGTCTCTGATTCAATGAGAGAATATTTCAAGGCAGTAAGGCAGTTAGAGGAAGACAACCAACTCTGGCTTCCACATGAATGAGAATGAGCCTGTCCATTCACATACACAGATTCATATATGCACTCCCCCAAGCTGAGTATCATGCTATAATCTCACCACTGGGGAGGTGGAGACAGATGGATACCTGGGGCTCACTGGCCAGCTAACCTAGCCTATGTGGTGATAGGAAGACCAAGGAGAGATCTCACTTCAAAAACCAAGGTGGATTGCTTCTGAAGGACAGACTGACCTCTAGCCTCTGCATGCATGTACACACACACACACACACACACAGAGAGAGAGAGAGAGAGAGAGAGAGAGAGAGAGAGAGAGAGAGAGAGAGAGAGAGACTGGCTGGCATCCCCTATGTGGGACACCAGAGGAGGCAGCACTACTGTGACCAGATGAAAAGCTGAGCCTATCCAGTTAGTTGTAGGGAAACTCCGTGCAACAGGGCTCATCACATTCCCTGACTCACTTTCCTGGGCTCTGAACTTGTCTCTCTTTGCCGAGTAATGTTGTATATGGTAAAACGAGACCCCTCCTGCTGGTGGTGTATAGGGAATGACAGGGATACCAAGGCACAGATTGTGGCTCCTCTCTGTTCACTTCCGGTGAAGCACATGCTGGTCACCAACCAGTTTCATCTTGGAAGGAAACAGTTTTAGCCTTCAGAGAACAGGCCACACATGCCTCACCTCCCTGTTTACCCACACTCAGAGAAAGGGCGAGAGGGAGGCTAGACCTGAACGTGACTCACTGTGACCTCAGTTTCTCCACCATCTGTAAAGGGATATCGAGGGTGGGGTTTTGTGGGGGATCAGGACATCTGCTTACTATACAATTTGTACCTTTGTTAGGCAGGACTGTGAAACAGAAAGACAAGATGTGGTGCCTGGCTTCTAACCCTACCCAGACCACTGTTAGTGATTTGGCCTTGGAGAATGGCTTCCGTGCCCTAGCCTGACCTTGCCACCTGCAGTTGGTGGTGCTGGGACTACACAGCCTTTTCCCACTGTGGGAGTGCTACCATCAGCTTGCATAGCGTATTGACAACCACATTCCCTTCCAGTCGCTAGGCCATCCTTCAAATTGTCAAAAGGGGTGGGGCTGGATTTTCAGTGATGACAGCTGAACACTCTTGTCAGGGATTTTCTTTTGAAGTTCACTTTTTTAATTTTTCTTTTGAAACGCTTACAAAGAGCATTCGGTGACTTTCTTTCCACTGTGCTTATATTTAACTTAGGGGGGAAGAGATAAAGGTTTCCCACACAATGTAACAGAAAAAAAAAAAGAAACAGTTAAAGTAAATGAAAATATTGATGACAATTGGCGTCCTAGCTGCACTCCTGTGAATGAAGTATATTATTCGAGAGCTATAACAAACTCAGGAATGTACAAACACTAAATTGTGTGATTCTGGTTTTTTTTTTTTTTTTAGCTGTAAACTTCCCAGAGCATTCAGCATCTCCTTTGGGACAAATGTCCAGGCTCCTCCCTTTTTCCCAACTGTGCATATGTGTGCATTGACACAGTATTTGGAGAATGAATTTCATGTTTGGTTTCACAGTATGTGGCAGGGCAGGGACACATACTGGTCCCTCTAGGGAAGCACTGACTTTGGTTAATTTTAATTAGCTAATTGTGCACCCCCCCCCCACTACTGAATACATAAGGAAATGAGGACAAGCACCCTTGACTTGGTGTAATTAAAACTACAGTGATGTCAGCAGCAGGTCTAAAAAGGGATTTCTATTTGTTTTATCACCAAAAGGTGGCGTCCTACCCCCATGCCCTTTATTTAAAAGAAAAATCAACACACACACACAAAATCCTTCTTCCTTTAATTTGACAAAAAGAAACTTTCAGTTGATTACTGATAAAGAAATTAGAAACCTGTTTCCTGTGAAGGCAACGTGGCAGTATTCAAAGTGGACAGTAAGTTAAGACATAGTCAAGTGTTTCTTTAATGTTAACCAAATGGGCGTGGGGTTCTCCAATAAGCCTGCACATCAGACGGTATCATATCCCCAAACAGTGCCATATATTATGGGATTTACAGCCAGGATATCCTTTTGTCTGCAAAATGTGTTGTCAGTCTGTCTTTAGCCTCTTCTTGTAAGTGAAGGCAGAATTTAAAGGCAGTTAAAATTCAGACCAAGATCAGCAGCAAGCTAAGGATTTCATTGTTGGTACAGTTGTAATTGGAAAAAAAAAAAAAGGCCCTACGAAAACAATACAAACCATGGCTGCGTCTGATAAACAAGATCACAGTAGGAATTCTTCTTTATGGACTACGCACAGAGATGTCCTATTTCCCTGCAGTTCCAATTGTACAACCAGCTACATACCATACATAAGTTATATTTGGCAGGACCATCACAGAAATTAAGAACAGTGTTTCCCCCCACAGATTCCTGTTTAACTCCACGTGAATTCCAAATATGGACTTTCCAGCGGTGTCCACGGTTTTGTGAGACTATCAACTAACTTGTCACAAACAGTTTAGATCACAGTCTAGGCCATCACAAGCATTCGATAAATATTACATGTTATTACTGTCTGCAGTGGCCTGTGAGAGTCTGGAAGACAAGAACTTACTATACATGTATATTTTAAAGTATGGTCCGGAATATTACAGAACATGTACTAATGACCTAACAAAGAAAACATGGACCCTTAACAGAACACAAAATATGCTTCACATATATAGTTTCTAATGGGGTGGCCAGTCTTGTCTGTTTGGCATGAACTGTTTTACAGCATGAATTCCAGCAGGCTCCGTTACTCAGTACACACTGCTTCTCTCTGGCGATATCAGTGAATGGTTTTGTTGCTAATTATTTAATTTCCAAACGTAGGATATAAATTTAAATGGTAGTCTCACCTCTTTCCAGCTTCGATCTAAATTCTGCAAATGAAAATTTAATATTTGTCAAAAGTCTTTATCCAAGACAGCCTATTATAACTGAGTCGAGGTGTTATTTACATGTGTTAGCCTCGGGATGCAGAAGGCAGTAATCATGCCTAGCTCCTTAAGTGCTTTGGGGGAACCCCAAAATAATTTCTGTTCACTAGAAGCCACAAAGGTCCGGTTTCAAAGTCCTGTGCTGGAAATGAGAAATCAGCTTCCCTGCCTATTTATGTTGATAAAAGTGCTTTTTGTCTTATGCATTTTTATTTATATTTCAAAAACATTTCTTTTGGGCTCGTTGGATACTTATTTAAATTCACAGAACTCAACCAAACTTCAGAACAGCAAGAAGAAAAAAAATCTCACCTTCCCACCTTTCCAAAGAATTGCACAAAGCTTTTTCCTCACGTGACTGATGTTGGAGAGAGCAGGTAATTTGTGTTAAACAAGTGATTGACATGCTAGCCCCCGGGTGTTTTCCTAAGAGGAGCCGAGGCGAAAACACAATTCTCCCCGCAGCCACTTGCCCCCCCCTCCCTAAGTGGACCCGGCGACAGGGACAACATTCCTGCAGAGGCTGACAAGGCCTGAGGGAGTAAGTTCTTGCTCTCACCACTCTCTCCCGATTCCGTGATGCAGGGGAAAATCCCCCTGGCTGGAGGGGTTTCTGTTTCCTCGCAATCAGGGGTTTGTCCTTCAGCTGAACTTTCACCTTCCGAACTCGCCTGCTTTCATTGGACAAAGTGCAGAAAGAGAGGGGAGAGACCGAGGGAGGACCCAAGAGCAGGCGCGGGGCTGGAACGCCGCCCCTGACGCCCTCCGCTCCAACTGTCACCCAGGCGAAGCACTTTCACTTTTAACTGGAGGAAACTCCATCCCCGCCTGTCCTCTTCTCTCCAGGATTTTTTAGCTCAGAACCGGGCTAATCGTCTCTCAGTGTCCCTAGCTGCTGACACTCCTTCACTCCATTTCCCTGGGTCCGAATGGGTCCCTCTCCCCCTCTTCTAAGGGGACCCCTTCTACCTCAGGCCCCTCATTTTCCAGTTTTTTCATCCAGTCTCCTTTTGCCTGGGATCTGTTGTGGCGTTCCCGTCCAGGGTTTCGGGGCTCTGTCTTCCTCCCTTCTTCCCCTCCCATGTCCCTCACTTGGCAATTGCGATTTTTTTTTTCTTCTGCGAGCCCTGTTGTTTACCCAGCAGGTGGATGTGACGTCAGGGACGCACAACAGCAAAAAATAACAACATCTCCCTCCGCGACGCGATGGCCTCTCGCCCGCGCCTTATTTATTTATTTGTTCCGGGATGCGGGGGGAGGGGGCAGGCAACCCAAGGGCGCCGCATCGAGGTGTAGATCGCTCTCGGGGGGTCGCGGGGGCCTCGAGGGCGTGCATGGAGAGGCTTGGGCCCAGCGAGGGGCAGGGGCGGGTTGGGGGGCGCCTCGCGGCTGCAACGCTGGCGCGGCTCGGGAAGGAGTCCCAAGCGGAGGAATCTATTGTTATTTATTGTGTGGCAGCTGCACGCTGTGCTCGCGGCCCGGCCCTCGCCCGCGAGTGCGTGTGTGTGCGCGCGTGTGCGCGGGTGAGTGTGTGAGCGGGGGGCGCGCGCGGGCGGGAGTGGGCGCGCGCGGGGAAAGGCCCCCGAAAACACCTTAGTTTGCACCGAGAGACCATTTGCCGCGGGTGAGTTCGTATTTTTCCATTTCTGCTCCACTTTTTTTTCCCAAGCCGCCTCCTGTCTTGTTTCCGCCACTTTAAACAACAACAACAACAACCAGCACAAAAAAAAGAGAGCAAAAGAAAAAAAAAAAGAAAAAGAAAAAATTCCTACTTTTCACCTCCAGGCTCCACGTGCATCTCCCCCAACCCTCTTGTTCTCGACTCGCTCCCGAGTCGGGGCCCAGGCTCTGCGTGGGTGGGGGCCGCACTGGGCACCGGGCTGGAGGAAGCGCGGGAGGCGCCCGCACCCTTGGATTCATTTGCATAAGTCACCGTGGGGTGTGATGGTGGCCGCACGGATGAGCTCGCCTCCCCCTTGGCCCCTCGCGCCTCTGCGCTCGCTCACACCCGCTCGGGCAGAGCGATCAATAAGCCCAGGCCGCCTGTCGCAACTTTGAGTGCCCAGCGTCAGCGTTTGGTGGCCGCCTGGTGCGAGTAGCCCCGACCCGGCCGCGGTTGGCGGGGGTGTGCGGCATCCTTTACGGAGCTCAAAGTTTGAACTTGGAGCAAACTTTTCCCCTGCTATCCAAGGGTGGCGTGCCCCTTCTGTACCCTGGGCTGCCCGGCGAACGGTGGAGGGCTTAGCAGGGACGCCTGCGCCCTGGGCCCGGTGCTTGGCGACATCCCTGTAGCCACGCGTGTTTTGGTCCGAACTCAGCGGTGTGGACGCTCTCTAGCTAACCCCTGGGAGCCTGGAAAACTCATACACACACACCCGCGCACCCTCTGCCAGACACGCACCCCACGCGCGTTCGGCCCCCGCTTGTCAGAAACAGCGTCCGCGCCAGCCGTAGCCGGATCGCGGGTGGGCATGGGGACAGGGCACGCCTCGAGGACTCTCGACGCCCGTACCCTGGACCCCCCGCCACCAAACACTTTCGCTTCTGACTCCGGCGCCTCTTAAGCTCAGGGATCTGTCCTGCGACACGCGCGTGCCACCGCGTCCCTCCGGCCCTGTCCCAGCCACCGATGGCTCTCCATTTCTCGCCTGCGCGCAGCTTTCCTCCTGTGCTCTCGGCACTCGGTTCCTGTCCCTCGGAGACGTCTCTCTGGAGCCGAAGAGACGAGGCAGCGCGCGCTTCGGGTGGGGACCGAGGCGGTGGCGGTGGCGCCGGGAGCCAAGGAGTTTGCCAGCTGCCGCAGGGTCGTGGTCATCTGCTGCCTCCGCCTCCCCTCGCCCCCCCCCCCCCCCCGCCTCCCGCCCCCCCGCCCCCAGTCGCACTCGGAAACTTTGATTCCTTGTCCCCCTCCCCACCTGTTGTGAGCTCCGCCTCAGTCCCCGGAGACTGGCGGTGACACACACGGGCGCCAGGGAGCTCCTCGCCCAGAAACAAAGTCGCATGCCCCCCTCCCCCGTGTTTGCTTGGAAATTGCTGCCTGCAGCACCCCCATTCCCGCGCAGCTCCCGCCCCCTGGGAGCCTAAGGACTAAATAAACAGTTGTAACTCCAAACCTTGCGCCTGCCATAGCAGCCCTATCCCACCCCTTTCCCCGGTCCTGCCCCTCCTTTTTTGTTGTTGCAACTTTGTAAGATCCCGGGAAGGTGCTGAGACTAAGGCTCAGGCCGCGCTCCGGGTCTCCGGATCCCTGCCGGGATTCCCTGCGGCGCATCCTCCTCCCTAGTCCTGCGCTCGGGGGTCTTCTCCGTCCCGTAGCCACCTCTATCTTTGGTCCTGGCCCCTTCCGCCTAATCACCTAGTACCCTTGGATCTCCCCCCCACCCCCAAACCTTCACGGAAGGAAGACTTGCTCAGGGTCGTCCCGGTCTCTTGTCGATCGCAGACCCCGAAAGTTTGCCCCAGGAGGACGGCCGCGCAGCGGGCGAACGGGCGAGGGGCAGGCGGCGCAGAGGAGCGTGGAGCTGCCGGCGCCTCCTCCCCGGACTCAGTGGGTAAGTCGAGGCGGCGGTGGCAGGCGCGCGGGCGGGGGGGGGGGGGGGAAGCCAGAGCTCTGTACCAGCCCGCCTGGGCAACAAGATCGCTGTGACCAGGCGCGGGGAGCCGGGAATGTGCCCATTAGGCTGGTAGGTGCTAGCAAATACTGGACCTGCTTTCTCCTTTTTTCTTACTTTCTTCCCTAAATCCAAAAATCTGGAGATCAAAGTTAACGTGGAATGTGAAGTGTAAGATGTGGTGACATCCCTTGCTCTCCTTCTCAGCTCGCTCCCCCCTTATAACTATTAATTATTTCCAAGCCATTGTGTCCAATACCCTAGCTGGACTGATTTCAGAGTGTATTGATTTAGGCTAGGCTCATCCTACGCTTTCATCTTAATTCATTTTCTTATAGCTTGACTAGAGGACCCAAAATGAAACTTCTTTCTTCTTTTTTTTCTCCCCCTCCCCCAGCCCCTTCATTTGGGTGTTTTAAGTAGAATAATGAAATTAATATGAACATTTCATTTGAGCTTATTAAGCTCACTGCTGAGGGCCCAGGGTTGCTCTCACGGCAGGCTCCAGGTATTTTCCAAGTTCAGATTTCTTATTTTGTCTCTGCTCTTTAAGGCAGAAAGCTGCGGGAACGGTTCGGATTCTGGTTGACGAGTCTGCCGGTTGAAGCCCTTATGCACTTCACCTTCTTTGGGCCATAGCCTGGAAGAACTTGCAAAATAGCTGAACTGAGAAAATCACCCAAGGATATCTAAGGAATTTTTTTCTGTTCCTGAAAATGTTTTGAAGGATCTTAATTTTTACCTTCCTTGCTCTCTTATTTTCCACAGTGAGAATGAGTTTTTGGGCTAGCGTGATGAGGATTTGATAAGGGCTAGTGAGATTTGAGGTGATTTCTAGCTAGGGGTTGCTTGCTTAATGGAGGCAACTGAGTCTTTGCTAATTTCTATTTCAGGTCATTTTCAAGAATTCCATTCTGGTTTTGATTTTGAATTACCTATTTCTTTTGAGTCTGGAAAAAGGAAAAAAAAAGCTGGGCTCATATTTGAAAAATATTGAAATGGGTTTGCCCCCTCCGTTCTTTCAGATGTCTCATAATTAAAGAGTATTAAAAGTATAAATGAAATTCAACCACTTACCATTCAAAGTGTCAACTAAAATTTTACTGCAAAGGGGAAGAGGTTCAGCATCTTCCTAGTGGCTGCAGCTCCTCTACTCCCCCCATTTTGGATTAGTCATTGTACGGGGAGAACGCACTTTCCCCCCTTTCTTCTTCTTCTCTCTTTCTGTCTCTCTCTCTCTCTCTCTCTCTCTCTCTCTCTCTCTCTCTCTCTCTCTCTTTGAAAAGTAAAGTAAACAGCCTCCAACTGCTGAACCTTGACAACCCAAATTAAGGAAGCAGGGGAGATCAAACAGGGCTGCTGCTGGGCTGTTGTCAGGGTCTGCTGTAAGGGAGAACCCAGAAAGGCTCTATGTTCACTTATGCAGAAATGGACCATTGCAATTGCTTATCTTTATTGTGCAAGTGAAGCCTCACTTGGAAGGAAATACCCAGCCTCTGGTCTGTATTTGAGTTCCTATGGATGCTAAATTGCTAAACAAGTTACTATTTTGTAATACATTTCTTTTTTTAGGAGAGTGCACGCCCAAAAGGTATCCAAAAAGAATATTAAGTCATCTCAATTCTGTCTTGCTGGCTAACCAGAACCTCACCGTGGAACTCTTTTTTACCAACATTAGACTCCCACACCAGTTAGATAACATTTTCTCACATCCAGCTTAGAAGCTTTGCCTTCTCAGGGAAGCCAGGGTTTTATATGTGAGGGTTTAAATCTGCTGTGTAGTTAAAAACAAAAAAAGAAGAAACCCAAGTGATGAAGCCCACTCTTG